TTAACACCATTTGATAAAACTAGAGAACAACTTCGTATATCTTTTCTATAAGATCCAAAATAATCATCATCATTAAAAAAATTATTAAGCCATTTTTCATTTTCTCTTTCTTCTTGATACAATAATCCTTATTGTTAATCTTAAACTTAAGTCATTTCATTCATGCTCATTGTTTTAGCAAGGTTAGTTGAATATTTTTTTAAATCATGTAGAAAACGATCAATATTAATAGATTTTCCTAATTTTTTCTATTTTTCTATTTATTTTAAATGATGTTAATTTATAAATTCATCATAAAAGTCATAACTTGTAAGATTCAAATCTTTTAATACATCAATAATTATTTCAATAACAGCTTCTCTTATCTTTTCATGTTGAATTGCAAGTTCATCGAATAAATAATCTAATTCTTAAGGGTTTTGTTATAATATCTTCAAAAGTTAAGTCTTTAATCCAAAATTTTCTGAAGAAATCTACGCTTTATTAGAGTTGAATTTTCCTCTATATATTCCAAAATTTGAAAGCTATTTCATGATAGTTTAGTTTTTCGAAATTTTCGATATCAAATAATGTATATATTTAATGTTTTAAAAATTCACTTGAATCTTTAAAATTTACTTCTGTGAATCTTTTGGATTTATTTAACAAAAACATAATCCTAACCAATTTTTAGGGCCAATTATTCACTTCTTGTAGTAAAAATAACAAGTGGGTTTGACCAATTCTATTTCAGTTTATTATTAATATATAAATTTTTCTAAATATTTTCTAACTTCATCTCATCATAACTGTCCATTATCAAGAGAAATCGGAAATCTTTCTTTTCTAACATCTCTTTACATTCTTTCAATTATAGCAGATCAAAACCATAATGATCTTGATGAATTGCTTCCTCTACTGCTTAAAACACAGGATTTTTTAAAGAAGGTAATGAAATATAAGTTGGTATTAGCAGTTTATTGCCAATTTTTTAATTATTATCATGTAATTTCCAAATAAGTTCTTCTATTTTCTTAGCTGCAGTACTTTTGCCTTATCCAGCTACGCCATGAATTAATAATACTGTTTCTTTACCATCTAATAAAAACTCATTAATTTCTCCATTTTTATCATATAAATTTTAAAAATTCATCAAAATACTTGTCTTTTCTTTCTCGTCTCCTTCATTTATTTCTTTATATCCTTCCTCATTTAATTCCTCATCTATACATCCTTCCTCATCTTCTTCTAAATTTCCTTCCTAATCTTCTTCTTCATGTCCTTCTCTATATCCTTCCTTATATTCTTCTAAATTTCCTTCCTAATCTTCTTCTTCATGCCCCTCCTAATGTCCTTCTTTATATACCTCTAAATCATTTAATTGGACTTTCTTTTCCAGTTTCTCTAATTTATGAAATATTCCCAAAGTTTTTATTGGCACATAAATAGACCTAACGTTTTTATTTTCTGCTTCTTTCAATACTTTCTATTTTCTAATATGAAAAAGCTCTTCAACTGATTTTCCTTTAAGAATTTTTCTTCTTGATTAAGATTGTTATCAGTAGTAAAAATTTCATCATTGTTATTTTATTTTTATTGATGGTCATTCTATATTATTTTTTGATTTTAATCTTAAGAATTTTTTAATAGCTCAACAACCTTTTCAATATGATTGATTAATTATTTGACATTTTCTATATTATTAAAACTGTAATTTTTCTCAACAATTTTAATTATTTCCACATACGCTAATATTTTTCTATCTCAAAATTCAATTCTGATCTATTAAATTGCTTATTAGTTACAATTTTTATTGAATTTTAAATTGAAGCATTTTCTATTATTGTCATAATTCTATCTGTTAAAGAGGAAGAACAAGATTCTTCCTTAAAAAAATTCTCCAAATTCCTTATCAATTAATTCTAAATCTATTTTTTCTAAATCAATCAATTATTCTTCTAAACTTAATACCAATATTAAGTATTCTAATATTCCTTTTTATTTTGACAACTTATTTTAATAGTCTTGCTCAGTAATTTACATGCTTGTTAATTCAGCAATAATTTCTTTGTAAAAAATTGTCACGACAGCAAAATATTTTTTTTTTGGATAATTGTTAATTACATTAACAAGAAACTCATTCAAATCAATAACTTTTTACAACTATTAAAATTCTTCTAATTAGGCTAGAACTATATTTTAAAAGGACTCCTTCAAAGCATTTAGCTGTAATTGAAGTTTTAAATTATTCAATCTTAGTTTGTATAGAAAATAAAATGATAGCATATTCGAAATTTGTTATTAAATTTCCCCAAATTCGTAAACAGACTCTAATTCATACTATGAAATTAAAATTGCCTTAAAACTTAAAATAGATTCATTGACATCTTTTTGAATTTTTCAACCATGTGATCTTATTCAAAATATTGATGATTCAATAAACTCTGAAAACATTCATTATATTTACACTTTTTAAGTGACATAATTTCTAGCCTTAAGATTTAATTTTTAGAATCTTCAATAAGTCTTAAAATTCTTTCAGCTTTTTTCAAAAAGCTCTTTTAGTCAAGAGTTGCAATTAGCAAGTCAAGAAGTTACTACTATAACTTATTGACAAATGAAAACTGATTATCTTTGAGATTTAGATTTTTTAATTGCTCCTAAATCAACTCTTTCTATTACTAAAGTATTATTATTTCATCATTTATACTATCTTGCTTGCAGAATTGATTTCTTTAATTTTTTATTTCTTAAATTGCCTACAATAATATTTCTTCTAATAGTTTCATTAAATATTTAAGTTAAAATAAAATATTAAATTCAAGTTTGTCTGCCTATTGTAATTATTCAGTCTAATAGTATTTGTTATTCTAATTAAGCTGAAAAATTTTGAGAATTTTTTATGTGTTTTGCGAATATTCATTTTAGTTGCAAATGATTTTTTTTAATTAAGAATCAATAGTGCTTTATAATAGTCTTTTATTAACTTATTCATTTTCCCTAAATTATTTCTAAACTTGAATCACCTCCCTCAAATTTTCATTATTTTATTTGATTAAATTAATTAATTTAGTTGGAATAATGAAACTTAAAAGCATTTTCATTTTCTCAATAGTCAAAATTTTTTCTTTTTTTTAGGAATCTTTTCTAAAAAAATCAAATTTACATTTTAAATAGGAACTAAATGTAAATGGTGTATCTTCATTTAATTCACCAATAAAAAATTGTTTAAGTATAAGAAACTCTTCCCATCCTTTGAAACTATCTTCTAATACTTATCTATCAAGTTATATCAGTTTATTCTTTTAAAGTTAACTAAGTATAATGACAGCTTAGTCATTATATGATTCATTTAAATAAGTATTTTTTTTTTCTGAAATTCCTTCCACATTTACATAGAATTAACTCCAATATCGTTAGAGTTTCCTAACTGATTTAATCTTTGTTTTGTTAAAAGAGGATTAAATATTAAGATTTTCCCAACCATTTAAATCCACAAAAAATGATTTTACCAATTGTTTGATCTTTTCACAAGATTTTCATAAATTCTCTAAATTTTTAAAAGTATTTCTTTTAGAATTACTTATTTTTCATGTCTAAAAAAACTTATAATTTCCCATTATAACATTTCTATTTAAAAATACACTTCATATTATTTTCTATTTTTTTTAATTGTATGTATTTTATGAATTTGGCGGACTGCCTTAAATAAGGATTCAATTAATTCAGCATTAGGTTTTAATTGTATTAACGATCCAAATATACCACTTGCAAATCCGTTTCTAATATCTTCCCTTTCGTGATTATTATTTGGAACTATCTCAAAAGAGGTTTTTGTTAAGAAAAGATAAACTTCCATTTAAACTTAAATCAAATCATTCTTCTCTATTTCTATTTATTATTTTAAGTCATCAGAAATGTCGAAAAATTCCTTTTATAAATCAAAATTCATAATTCTATCGCTATTCATTACATGGAAACTAAATATAACTTTGGATAGAGATACTGTAATCTATAAGATATACAAACATTTAAACTAGTCTTTTCTAATATAGATCTAACAACTTTTCAATAATTTTCGGATTGTATGATTTCATGATATTTTAGGGATTCTTATTGAGTTTGTATATGTTTTCCTCTTAAAAAATAAACCATTATATGGCTATCATTATTTCTTAAGATTCTATTGAATTGATTGCAACGTCAGCTTTAGCACAAATTATTTCAACAAAAGAACTAAATTTGGTAATGAAATTGTCTATATCTTAAATATCTGACTGTAAGTTTTCATATGTTCTTGGATTCATTCTAAAAGATCCACAACCACCTCCCCGTAATGAAGATATTTTTGTATTGACTAAGGATAACATTTTTTTTATAAAATTTAAAATAAAAATCCATACCGGTATAAAAATGTATATAAACTTATATTAATTAATAATTAATTATATTATTATAAGGAATGATAAAAATTTCGTATTTTAAAATGCAATTAATAAATCAAACATGTTCCATAAATTTTACTTAATTTATTTTTCTAACCTCGAATAATGCTAAAGTCAATAGCATATACTCGGCTAAGAAAATCATACTCTATTTTCGAAGTGTTGTTTTGAGTTATTATTTTAGAATATTATGCTAGCTTAGCCCATTCTCAAAAGTTGGCTTAATATTGATTTGAATTTACACATTAATATCATTGATAGTGTTGATGCTTTTTGATTTTATCATTCTAGGCTTAAAGGTTTGGGCTTGTCAATTTTTCAGGCTTAACAACTGGGTTTAAATAGTCCTCCTAACCCAGTAAAAGGAACGAAAACTATTGAATTTGAAATCCATCTTTACATCTTGTCTATATTTCATATATCTACCTTCGAAATTTTGAAAAATTTATGATAGTATGATGAATCCGCCAAAATTCCAGAAGTTGAAGGAGTGTTAACAATGTCTGAACAATGAAGCGTTATTCAATTATAAAGAACATCCACCTTAAGAATATGGTGATTTTCATTCATTTGGGTACTCCATTATGAGATAATACGCAAAAATTTTAATTTTAGGCAGCATTAAGAAACTGAATTAAATCTGATGTTTAGTCAATTCACAGAACCAAATCAAAATTACAATAATCTGCTTACAATCTGAATTATCAAATTTGATATGTAAACTGCTTTTGGAAAATAAACATGTGAAATGATTTTATCAAATATCATCTTTTCTCAGTGTTTTTTTTTTAAATAACAATTTCGCCATATTAACAGTCTTTTATTTAGGAAAAACTTATAAAATCAAAGATATTTATGATAATTTCTTAGTTATTAATAGATTTAGAATTTTCATAAAGACTTGCCAGAATGAATTGTGAATAATGAAAAGAAAGATTTAGGGGGATTTGATGGGAGATAAAATTCAAAATGGGCAAACAAAATTTTTAATATATGTTTTAAGTATTATTCACAAATTTTTCTATTAAATACATTTTTTATAATTCGTCCTTCTCTTTTTACCTAAATAATTAATTGATAATTGGAATTGATAGAATAACAGAAAGATATTATTATAACGCCTCTAATAATTATTTCAAGGTTGGAGAGTGGAAGTAAATTTAAAATTAAGCTAAATAAGTAATTGATTATTAAAATTATGTTGAGAGAGCAAAAAGTTTAAATTGATTATAATGAATAATAAGGAAATGTAGTTCATTTCCTCAGATCAATTAATGATGATGGTTTGAGATA